GGCAACGACGTTGTAAAACACTCCAATTCATTTTGTGAACTCGGCAACCAGGCTACCGTATTCAATTTTCGCCTCTGTATCGTTTTGGCGGTAACCATGATGGTGGTCGAGTGGATCATGTTGAGCGGGGTCGACAACCCGCACTCCGCGCAAGGAGGACGATCGCACCACGTTGGGTGAAAATGGTGACGCATCCTCGAGGCAGTTACACCGTGCTGACAACTGTCTCTGAAAATGAAACCACGAGAAACAATATTAAGTCATCCGCAGCTATCATTCGTATGCAAGGAAGTATGCACAAGATGCCGAACACACTTAGCAGGATGCACACCCTTCGTGCGACTCGCTGAATATCTCACGGCGCTTCGTGCTTGAGGATGTGAGAGCCTGGTCCGGTAAGAACCCGGCGTGCTCCGTCCCAGCTTTGTAGGGATGTGAGGTCAATGGTCTAACGACTACGGCATGCAGAAATATGAGTACACTCCCCCCCCTCCCGGTGTGTGCCATCGGGGTTGGCCTTTCGTTGGTTGGCAACGACGTTGAAAAACAAGCGGCCTCCCCCCGGTGTTTGCCGTCAGGGTTGGGTTTTCGTCGCTCGGCAACGACGTTTTTAACAAGCCCCGCCCTCGGTGTTTCCCATCGCGATCGGATGTTCGTCGCTTGGCAACGTCGTTGTACAACAATCCAATTCATTTCGCGAACTCGGCAACCAGGTTACCGTATTCATATTTTCACCTCTGTTTTGTTTTGGCGGTGACCATGACGGTGGTCGAACAAATCATGTTGTGCGGGGTCGAGAACCCTCACTCCGCGCAAGGGGGGTGATCGCACCACGTAGTGCAACACGGTCAAGCACCCTCGAGGCAGTTCCACAGTGCTTACAACTGTCTCTGAAAGTGAAAGCACCAGAAGATATTATTAGTCATACGCAGCCGTCATCCATATGCAAGGAAATACGCACAACATGCCCAACATCCTTCGCAGGATGCAGCGCACCCTTCATGCGACTCGCCGAATATCCCCCGGCGCTTCGCGCTTGGTGATGTGAGAGCCTGGTCCGGTGAGAACCCGGCGTGCTCCGTCCCGGCTTTGTAGGGATATGAGGTCAATGGTCTAACGACTACGGCATGCACGAATATGAGTACACTCC